TTTGCATTATTAAAGGGCCTTGACAATAACATGGTTGTTTCTCCATTGGGGGTTGTTTTGTGTTCTCTTTATGTATTTCATGGTGCATTAGTTGTATTGCAGTACTGCCTAATAGTACCTAGCGCTAGCCACGAACTCCCCTGTGACTCTCCTGTGCATGACAGTGTCTAAACAAGGAACAAAAAGACTGTTCCTGACCCAGAGCTTAAAATCTAAATAAATCCAATTATATGTTTCTGATGGAAAATCAATGCAACATATTGAAGTCCTGAATGTGTTATCTAGTTAGGACTGGGCCACACTGACCCTATCTTCTCCAGCACTGGAAATGTCACCATTGTTTTTTGTTTTTCTTCCCATTGCATATTCCATGTACATTTTTCTTCAGTGAATGAGGTGATCTCTGCAGGTTCAAATAACTTGGAAACAAATCTTCCTTAAAGTAAGCCCTTTCAGCTCCCACTTCATCAACTCTGAAAGGGCACTCAGGTCTTTGTGAAGCCTCTGGGAAGAAAATGGCTCTCTGTTCAAGCATGGGGGATCTTGCCAGCAAAGATGGGGGTCACAAAGTTAGGCTGCTTTCCAAGACTTGAACCTGACTCCAGTGTGGACCCACGTTGAAATCAATGGGGACCAGTCACAGCAGTAAAGCTCAGCAGGTATCATCCAGGAGAGCTCTGGAAGTCAAGGGAGTTGTCCAGTGGGAGCTTCCTTTCCTTACTGAGCCCTGCAATATAGAATAAGAGGTGTGTATATAATAAATACTACTATATATAATAAAATAAGATTATCTTAATAAAGATATTAAGAATTATTAAGATATAATTACATAATAAGCATAATAGATCACATTCGATATAATAGGTTACATTATATATATTGATTACACGATAGATTTATTATATTGATTACATTTATAGATATTAATAAATTACATTATATGTCATAGCTTACATGATCTATTATATATAATAGATTACATTATATATAATAGATTATGATATAGATGATATTCATAGATGACATTACATACAACAGATTTCATTATCTCTGTAGTTTACATTGTATATAATAGATTACATTATAGATGATAATAATAGAATACATTTTATATAATACATTATTATATGTAATGTAATCTATTATTATCATCTATAATGTAATCTATTATAATGTAATATCTACAATATATTAAAGATATTAATAGATTACAAATTATATACATTGTATATAATAGATTATGTTATAGATGATATTAATAGAGGACATTAAATATAATAGATTTCATTATATCTATAGTTTACATTGTATATAATAGATTACATTATAGATATTAATAGAATATATTTTATATAATACATTATTATATGTAACATAATACATTATTAGCATCTATAATGTAATCTATTATAATGTAATATCTATATAATATATATTAATAGATTACATTTTATATAATAGATTAAATTATAGATGATATTAATAGAGGACATTATATATAATAGATTTCCTTATATCTATGTTGTATATAATAGATTACATTATAGATTATATTAATAGATTATTATATGTAATGTCCTCTATTAATATCCATAATATATTAGATTACATTATAGATTCTGTATAATAGAGGACATTATATATAACATGATAGAACAGATGTAATCATATAATAGACAATTATACCATGTAGTGCATAAATTACAGGATGCATTATATGATATATTGCAATATTACAATCTATTGGATGACTTTGTCTGATGCACGGTATCGATGGCAACTATCTATTGCATGCATCGTATCTATGACGTAATGCACCGCGTATGACAAGATGCGCATACATTGTTATCCCCCGCGTGGGTGTGCTCTATACCGTCATGCCTCTCTGGTGACGTCATGGAGACGATACAACCCCTGACGTCACGCGGCGCAGGCAGGCCTCGCCCCCC